GAAATTTCGAGGGGCAATAAAAAAGTAAAAGTCGTGGCATGTTCTTTGTCACAGAGGGTAACATAAAACATAAAAAGGTTTTTCTAAAACGGAAAAGGGAAAGTTTGTACTTTGGAAAGAAATTGTGCCCCTTGCGTGTCGAACCTACACGAATCTTTTTCTTTGTGAGAGAATACCTACAATATAGAATAAATTAGTAAGTTATCAATCTCTTAAATTGAAATGTTAAGCCCAGAAAATGATAAAAAGCGAAAAATAAATTAACGATTTTTAATCTTGAAAGATTTTGATAGTGATCTTATATCGGAGATCATTAAAGATGTTATTTCGTTTCAGTTGCACTCTCCCACGATTTTCCCGTTGTTTTGTTCGTGCTGCACGTTTGCTTCTCGTTCTGTACCATGTAATAGGGAGAGCAAAACGGAGGATGCGACAATATCCGGCGCGCCGGCGTCCGACAACTGATAACGCCAAGGGATGTTTATGTATGCGTTCATAATATGTTTCGAGTTATGTGCAACCCCTTCGAAACATGAGGACCGTCAACATTGGAACCACGTGAAAATTTCAGAGACGAGAAATTCTTAAACTCACTATAAACACGCAATTTTTCATACAACGAATGGGGAATAATTTAAAATACTGATTTCATTCCGAAAAAAATAATGTTACAGAAGAAAAGGAACAATGAAATTAGTCGCAACGACAGGAGAAACTGCGGCGATAATTCGGAGCAAATTTTATCGATGCCGAATGAATAAACCTATAAAAAAGGGAAGTACTTTCCCCGACGGCTCAATGGCTTTCGTATCTATATGTAAATAAAGCGGAGTAAGAGAGAAAGAGAGACGGTGCCAGAGGGGGTTGAAGGGTTGGGGAAAAGAAGAGGCGGCCATTTCTCTCCATGGAGCTGGTGTAATTTACGCGAGGACTGAAGATAGCGAAGGGACTTAATTCACGTTCCGCCGACGAAAAAATAGGATAGAACCACTACCACCAGACAGGGAACCGACTGGCTTCGTTCGCTGCTCTTAATTCTCGTTACAAAAGGGAGCGATACCCCTTACTCGTTGCCAATTACCTAAGCTTATTAACTATTCTAATCAAACGAAACTCTGTTCTTAATCTCAACAACGTTAAGTCAGGTTTGTCATATCTGTACGAATTTTTAATAAGGATCAAATAATGAGCAAAATGTAATCGTGACCTTTTTTGGTAACGTATCTGAATAATCCCATAACAGAAACTGCATTATATAACACCACATGTAATAAATGTTAAAAAAATGTTTCTTCCTGAACGAATATAATGGTTGGCAAATGACGGAACAACGAAACGGCATTCCCCTTCGAATGAAACGAAATGAAACGAGCGTGGAGACATTCTCAACTGGTGGGTCAGCTCGTGACATTCCGCTTAGCAATTATATGTCGATAGAAAAGAATAAAGCCGTCGCGCGACACGCGTTTCGAGCTGGCCGCGTGGCCCGCAGAGCGTGTATACCTCCTCTGGGTAAAATAATAGTTCGGCCTGGATGCCACACCCAGTATTGTCCTCGCTCATACTTGTACCTCCCCTTGCGTCGCCTTACACTCGCTTTGGCATTTTACGTAGGTACATATCGATGATATACATGTTTCTCTATATGTCAGACGTACACGACACATGGTCACGGTACAAGTGTATGGATACAGAGCGTCCCAAAACGTAATGCATTTAAGTTCAAAACTAATTTCTTAAAAATTCGCAAGAAAGTCAGATTTCTTCTTGAATGATCAACCACCCAGATTGTAATTATCATATTATACACCAATCTTCAAAGTGATTTTTCACAAAACCTAAGACACCCGTAAACAATAAACGTTATGGTTTATTGCACTATCATCCTGTCCTCGTACTACCAATTTTAAAACAGCCGGTATAAGTATGGAAAAACGACGAACACGTAGGCGCATGGGGACCCATGGCTGGATCTCCAAGATAGCAAGATACGAATGAATGTCGAGAGATAGAAACAGTAGATTTAGGATAGACGAAGAGAAAGAAAGATACATAGTAAAGGAGAGAGACGAGAAAGTGAGAGCGAGAGACAGAGAAACTGGTAGGAGAAAAGAGAGGCGAGCCGGGGTTGGTTTGGAAGAAAGGTGGGGTCGTGTTGGAAGAACGAAAAGGGGGTTGGCACAGGATGATGGCGGTGGTTCTCCTGTTCGCTTCCACGTCCCTGCAGACGTGCCAGCCGCTGATCTACGATTCCCTCGCGCATAGCGGGCCGCATAACTCTCGTCTTATACCTCTCGGTGAGATCTGGACGATGATATTGCTTATCCGCGTGTTCGAACCGCGATCCACCCTGAATTCCCTCGAAAACAAAGGGGCAAAGAGGGAGTGCTGGTACGTAGGAGGACAGGCGAGAAAGATTACTGCTCTAGCACGTCTTAGGGGTGCTGGCAAATCCGCTCACTTATTCTGCTGGGATAAAATACTCGCGTGAATTTCAAATAGGATAACATTCCGGTCAATTTATAGTTAATAAATATTGGGGTGAGAGACAGAGAGAGGGGTTGAAGACTTTGGTTAGCCGAATGGATTTCGCTCGAGAGGGTGCATAAAGTTCTCTGACCCTTAATCGTGAAAAAAATTCGATGGTTGTGTAATCGTGTAATCTGATGTGTATAAAAATGAAACAGAATCAACTGCCTTACGAGAAATCATCATTAAGGATGGAATTCAAGTATGTCGTCAAATATAGGGTGAAAATATTAAAAATGAGCACGATAATGCTAGAAATGAATAAATTCTATTATAACCCACCCGGTACACTACGAAGCATGATATTACTAAACAACGTTGTCTCTAGCCGGAAATCTTTAAAAGAATGGAATAAGAGAGCGGGATAGAGAAACGTTTTGTTGGAAGAGATAGTAAGAACAAGGAGGAGAGAAAGGAGAAAAGCATTCGCCCCTTTCCTCCGCGCTCACCTCGAGGGTTTCAGCTCGTGCAAGCGGTTAACGCAGCCATTTCACGCCTCGGGAAGCATCCAGTTTCCTCATCCGAATTCTAACCGAATTCACGGAAACCTCTCCACGGACAATCTACGAGGATTTCTATTTAGCAGAGACTGGGAAGATGGCAGAGACAATTGAGAGGGTCTAAAAGATACTTCGCGTGACTATTGCAAGCTAATTCATTCGATTTCTACGATTCTACGATGATCGCAGTATCGTTATTTTTTGAACATTACTCAATGAACCAAAGTTTGGTATTATGTCACCCCCCAATTCATAACATTGAAAATATTACGATCTTTTATTGTAGAACCATCTTTCATTCTTCTATAGTTTGCAGAGTTCATTATTGTTCACACGGCGTAAACTTTCATACGAGAAACTTACTTTATTTCCTGAGCTCTGAAACCCCTACCTCTTTTCCGCTACCAACATGATTTGCTACGGTGTATATCTATCACTACCGAAAATAGAATCAAAAGAAGACCTCGAAACAAAGAGTTGCGCGAATATACTAAATCCAATAATCGAGATGCTTTCATCATACAGCCCATTGACTTGAACATCCCTCCCGTCAGTGCAATTCTTCCTAACCCCAGAACCATTTAATCCTTCGTGTCACTGGATGCCAAACGATCGCCGAGGGGTTCTACTTGCCCCTTAAAACTTCGATTCTTTACCGAATTGACTAGCAATTAACGATAGACTGACTTTGTTTCCGGCTGTTTGAAGAGCCCTTTTATCGTCGCTTCGAACATGCAAACGAGAAGAATCACGTGGTAGGAAAATCTCGCATGTGCATAGAGGGACGAACAATCAGGGGAATACTACCCACATCGAATACACAGCGCGTACATTTCGTCTGATATCGATGTCACATCTATTCCACGGAGAATTTCCATATAGGATTCGACTTATGGCGGTTGGTGGATGCGCGAAACTGTCGTAACGCTATCGAATTTTTACGGGTACAGGTCGTTTTGCCAGTTTACCTCGTAAATCTGGTCGCGCTGGCGCGTGGACGACCCTTTCTCCTCCCAGGCTTTTTTTTCTGGCAGAATGGCCTAAAGTGAGTATCGATCAGAAAGTCTGAGGGAATTACGGTCCATGAGCGATTCTCCATTGCCTACACCAAGTGGTTATATCTGCCATACGTCGTGTGCCGTAGGAAAGGGGGCGGCAACCGCAGCAGTAGCACGACTGTCCTTCCCTCCCTCGCCCTCCGTCGCCATAGCCGTACTCGGCTACCCCAATTTCACCCCCGAGAGCCAATATTTATTGATCACCCTCGAAGGCATCGTTCTGTATTCTCTCTACTTCTCTATCGCACCCTCTCCTTCCTTCACTCCCTCCTCCCAACGTACACCCACCCCATCTTCCCTGACACGACCTCTGCACGTTCTTTCGCGGTGAACTTCTTTTTCTCTTCTTTTTTTACCCCGCTGGTTTTTTAAGAAAAAGAGAAACACAAACGCGTACCCCACCCATCTCGCTGTCAAGACGCTCGCAGCTGTTCCTCGCGATGCTTCTGTCCCGCCCCCCTACGGAAGAAAGAGTTGGTCGTCACCAAAGGGGAGGAAGAGAGAACTCTTCAGGAGGTGCTGCTGCAACGGCAGGCACGGCTTTAGGACGATGAAAATTCACCCCACGACTCTTTATTCTTGGAAGCTTGCCTCCCGGTGTCTCGTTTGAGAATTCCCGACGACTTAAAGCGGACTTCGAAGGAAATTCGAACGAAGGGTAGCATCTGTGCTGGAGGAGCCTCGCCCCGAATAAATCTACTGCTGTGACATGCCATGGACCCGAATTCGACGCGAGAATCTCGGTTTTTTAATGCGCTAACACACTAAACCGCTTCGTCGACTCGATTTATCCTCACCTACCCAGCATCTTTCTATAGATATTCTGCTAATTTTTTATGACTAGGCTGAGAGAGGTTCGAATCGACGAATGGGTCTTGGTAGGTTAATCAAGTTTGAAGAAAGCACAACTCACCTTGCAACCATGTCCAATGCGGCTTAGCATTATCTTCCTTACCTATGACAGAGAAAAGTCTACGTAAGGATTCAGCTTTCTCTGGTCATTGCATGAGTGCAAACAAGTGGAGAGTGCTCGAATTGAAACGAATAGAATAAATCTTTTCAATGATCGAATTCGACGACTGGGGTATGGGGATTGGGGGATAGGAACAGATAACGTATACATATAATAAGAGACGTCAGTTTTTGAATTATATGTTGGAAACTGATCGCCTGTTCTGCCGCGAAACACCGTAAATCGTGGAAATGTTTAAGCAGCCCCCTCCATTCAGGTCTGACTGGTATAATGTGAGAGCGAGAGGGGACACGATCGATCGGGAACATTTTAAAACCGAACCAATGAGAATAACTCGCGAGTCGAGACCCGTCATAAATGAAGCCGTAAATCGTACTTAGCCATTCGCGATATTTCCGCTATTGGACAACACACAATTTTCTATCGGATAGTTCAATTTCTAGATCGAAGATTCATATTTAAAAATAACCGCACCAATCGGACGAGATTGAACAATTAACGACACGACCCCACCAAACTCCGTGCCCTCTTTGCTTGATCGTTTTCCGGCCGCTATACCACCCGCAAACACCCCCTTTTGCGTTTCATTTCGACGACGATTTTCGCGTTGCCCGTGATGAAACGTCGATCGATGAGCTACTGAATGCATTTTGCACGCTGGTGCGCGCGAACGCCGTACGCCGGATTGCGTTCGTTAATATTCTATTAGACATCGACAAATGCGCAGCATGTTTCAACGACGCTCGCCGTTTAATCTCCTCGCCTCATTATACATTCGATCTAACTCGTGAGGCGAAAATGACGCTTGCCGGCACGATTGCTTGTCTGTTACACGTCCAATCTTTGATTCTAACAGAGAAATTCGGGGAACTATAAAAACTTCGTTATGGCGACACTTTCATTGTACGTCTCAGCAATCAAATTCCTATGAACTATCGAATTAGAGTCGCGTAATTTATTCCACTGCGAATTTTAAGGTACTTAATTCGTTCCAGAAGTTATACTTTATCGATTCCATCCTCTATGAATACGGATGTCTTACGGAAGCATTTAAATTCCCTCGACTGCGGAGTGTTAAAAAGCAATTCTATCTACAGTAACCAAAAATCATAGAAAAATAAGATAAAATAGGAATTCGATCGATAGCTTCTACGTTACACTGAACACAGTTCACTCTAGTGGAATCATCAATGAGAAGGATTAACTTAATTGTTTGAAATGGGGAAATTTCAATCGTCGAACGACTCGCTGCAGAACGCGGCCAATTATGTGCGCCCGCCACTCCGTGCCGCTTGTAACTCATCGCAATAACAGAATAGTATAATCAATTTCGGATCCCCCCTCTCACTTTTACCCCCTTGGCCCAGTTCAAATTACGACATTTCAGTTACATCAATCATTCACTCGTTTATCGTGTAAACGGGCTAGTTAGTCACGATCGTAAAGCAACAACCTATTGAAAGTATAATGCAGCAGTATGCTTGGCAGTAGTGGGATGTAAAGGAGAAGCTTAGCAGGCCGTATTAAACTGGACATAGAATCGTTTACACGTATGGGCTGCTAACATGTAGCCTGGCTAAGGTAATCTAACATCTACTGAACAACTTCTTTCCTAGCCGACTGTGCTCTGTCATCTATATTCTAGTTATTTGCGCACGTGCACGGCCGCCAGCTCTATTTACGCGTCGCTGCTTGAGTCTATGTGTGTATAGGAACGGTGATCAAACGCGCGATGGTTACCTACTTAAGTCGGATATTATCGGCAGAGGAGGCAATTCGATTGCGTGTACCGAAGCATGGTGCAGCGCTGATATAGAACTACTAAACAGGTCGTAGATCAGCTTGGTTAGTTACAACGCTGATGCCCTGCTCTGAGTTTGCCCGTGCTGCCCCCTACCTCGGCCCATTCCACGCTAAACCAATTCCCACCGGTGTTCTGGATCATTTGGCGGCCCGCGGCCGTGAGATGCGCGCAAATACCTCTACCACGACCTCGCTATCGCGATCTCGTAATTCGCTCTTCGATTTGCTATGATTTTCAGAAAAAAAAAAAAAAACGTTTGAATTGCGATGATTTTCATGTAAAACTGGATATAACGCAAAACTGATCGGTCGACTCCCCAAATGAAATGATATAGGATCACCTGTTACAGTCTAGTAAGTGTACAGTCTACCTGTTTGTACAAAGAAGTATTCCTGTTACCCCTCAGAGAGGCAACATTACACTATGTTTCGAATAGTGGAGTAAATGTAACTTACAAATTATGGAACGACCCACGACTCGCAATGAAAAAATTGCAGAGAATGTGTTAATCGTTTTATCTCTGTTCAAACACAGATCTGCAAGATTTCAATTTCATTCTTCTATCCAATCTTATATCCTCGTACCGAATGCGCGGCTCCCAGATCTGCGGCTCACCGGCAGCACTGATCTTGAACGAGGATCGCGAGGTCGTAAATCAACCATGAAATCTCATATCCCTTGGTAAAAGCCGTAGCGAACGAGAGGCTCGATTCTTTCGTTCGTCCAGGTCGGCCTAGACCCTCGATGAATTGATAATTCAAGAGGGAACGGCGTTATTGGTTCCCAGAGTGAGCGCCGCTGAAAATCTGCAGATCGATGACTTACGACACATTGCCGGTGACTGGTTATTAGATTATTGCTCGTATCGACAGCTCATGCGTTCGTTGTCGATATAGGGTGAAAGGGTGGGTAGAGCAAAGAGGGTGGTCGATCGGTACAGGGAGGAGGATGCCTACTACTGGTCGCTTGTGATGGTGTTGCTGGTTGTGGGTCGCGTACGGACCACGTACAAATATAGGGGGGTTCAGGTCGACGAGGGGACAAGAGACGTGGCCAGCGGCGGTGGGACAAAATGGGGAGACCGTGATAACGATAACGTACGATCGGCATTAGCTGGCGGCTTGCTGCGGCTGATGGATGCGCTAATTATCAGCAAGCAGGAGTTACAGTGTTTCGCGTACCCGTCCGCGTACGCGGACGATGACTATGCGTTTCCGATAGAGACCATCGTGAAAAAAGAGATTACGCGGCGTACAGAGAGCCAGGATGAAAAAAAAACACGCGAAAAATCGTGAATTGCATGGACGTAGTTTGGTAGCGCTTCGTGACCGAAAATTCGAGAGCTATCCCAATTTGGACTGGAGCGAGCATTTTACTAGCCGACCAAATCCGTAGCTATACCATCCCCGCGAAACCTTATTGCATAATTCGCGAATCCACTATAGGGATACTAGCAATACAAATTCTAATGAAATTCACAAAAAAAAAGAGGTCAGAAATAATCCAAATAAATAATTCTAGATTTTGCAAAATTAAAAATACACCTATTTAAGAAAGATTTTGACAAAAGTTCAATGAACGAATTCAATTCCAATTCGACTGGTTCGAATTCAGTCAGTGAATTTAATGGTTCGATATAAAGGGAAATCGAGCTATCTTCTTCCTTTACGTTTACAATTTCGAAGGCCAATGACGCCTCACACATCCACGTAGACCCCATACGTATCCAGGAAACCGCAAGCTGCGGTCTAAGCCCTAGATGCATCTACGTAACATAATCTACGATACCGGGCAGTCCGCGTATACAGCGCACGATCGGTCGAGATCCGGTGCCCCGTAATGAACATGGCGCTTGTTTATTTAATGGGAAATTCGGTGGCGCCATAAAGCTTGAAGAAGGGGGTGAAACCTATTAAATTTATGCTTTCGGTTTACCCGCTCTGACGGATCGCAATGCCCGCACGCGTCGACCTCTAGCCATCCCCCTACCGGTGGTTCGACCACCCATCTCCACCCACTTGCACCGCCATTTCTACCACCTACTACTCCTCCCTTTCATTCCTGCTTTCCTCTATCTCCACCTCCCTTCTGCTAGTTCATTCTCGCCACCTCTCTTGCTTCATCCCTTTCCAAACGGTTTCATGGTTCTAGTCTCTCTATCTATGTGCATGTGTGTGTGTTTACCCTATTGGTAGTCCAGTGTAATCCAAACGGAGATATATATTCGTAGTTGCCTACAGAGGTTCGACCAGGGTTCTGTGAACCACGTTGTGGCGCCCATCGTGACGGACAGCACCGCGTCAGCGCGTAAAGCATCATCGCATTTCTGCGGCTTGTGAAACGCCGCGCTCACTATACTATTGAAAATCAAAAATTGAGCTAGATGATAATGAGGTATCGAATGAAATATTAATTGACGCCTTCTTTTTAAGAAGATAAATTATTATTTTATCGACAAATAACTTATCCGTTTTATACGTCTCAATGAAGAAGTTCGTCCAACTTTTGGTAATCGTTATAGCTTGATATCATGCGACAATCGAGGGTGGCTCCGTTTCAAAAACTTTCTCTTTCAACCGGCCGTATCCGTAAACTCTGAAGAATTTGGCGAAGGAAAAACGGTCGTTCTGCAACTTTATCCCTTTTGAATCCCCCTAATTACCAAATTTTCCTCGCCCTTAATTTAGTGTTATAATTGCTTCCTATCCCTTCTAAGGGGTTGCTTGCCGGTACTTCAGCTCCCGCGATACTGCCACCCTTACACCCATTCCTTATATTCCCTCTTCTCTTTGAAATATCCTTACATAGGCTGCTGGTGCTGTTACTTCGTCCTTGCTCTACCACCCTTTGTGCTCTTTTATCACAGTGTATCCAAATAGCCCAATAAATTTATACTCGATGCGCATTTAAACGACTCGAGATGCCGACACATCGATCGTTCCCGTTAACATTGACAATCATTGAACATTAACTAACAAAGTATGCGCGATGGTTAAAATGAAGTCAGTTGCTAAAGAATATCGATATCGTACCCTCATTTTCTTCACATCTTTAGAATACGCAGATCTAGTAGGGTGCTTATGCTCGAATCGGGAATGTCTAATTATAATTTCAGGTGTAGGTCAGAGGCACACTCGACACGAGGAATATGCGAATTGACGCTGCACGTGCAGCGCGT